AAAATTGTCAAACTGGGCTGATTTTTTTTTTTGCCAAAGAATATGGTTGCCCTAAAGAATAATTTTTTTCCAGCTCGATTAGACGCCATCTTAATTTTCATTCCGAGAACTTTTGTTAGAACCCTCGTATTAAATACAGAAATGAGTATTTTCCTCTCATTTTATATCTTGTACAAAATTAATAAAAATTAAAATGAGTGAAGTTCGTGAAGTTGATTCGAAGATTCCTCGCAGCTCTGCGAAATCTCTGTCACTCCATAAAAAAGAGATACATCAGAACATATACAAACCAGTTGTTCCACCTCCAGGGGCAGTTTCATAGCTGATGACACCAGGGAAGCGAAGACAACGAAAGTCCAGTCCATAACGTTCGTGGTAATACTCCCCAAGCAACTCGGTGTGCACCTTGGCGACTCCGTAAATTGTCCTAGGGCGCTGGATCGTGAAATCCTGGACATTCTCCAGGGGTGTTGTTGGTCCAAATGCACCAATGGTCGATGGTATGAAAACGCGGAGTTTATGAGTCCTGGACACCTCCAGGATGTTGTGGACCCCTGTATATGAAGAAAGTTCTATACTTGTAAAGAAAAAACTAAACAAAAAACAACACACCAGAGCTACACCTATTTTGTGTAACCTTCAGAACACTTTAATGCAGTAAAATCTTGTTGCAACAAATACCATTACAAAAACATTTTCAGTATACTGTAATAATCTTTTTCTCAAGTCCCAACAGAAAGCACATGGAGTATGTGTTAATCATTATAATCAACTCCCCAGTTTCAGTATAATAAACTTTTTTGAGGAATGTGCAATAGATTCTCCAGGTAGAAATGTGCTGACTAAGGCAGGCACAGTCTGCAATTTCCATTCCCAAATAATGTGGCTGACTGGTTCTTCAAGTTACACCAATGACAAACATGTTTTCAAGTGGTTCAACACATCATCCAAACAGAACAAAAGATTTGTGAAACTGATGAAATGCATAATTGAAAGTAAAAAAAAATCGAATCACTCAGTTTTTTGAACAATAAAAAAATCTCAAAATGCTAGAAAAGCAAGATTTAGTTATTACAGCATTTGCAGGTCTGATGTAAAAAAATTTCCAGTAATTAATTTTGAAAATCTTTACATAAACAATTATTTGGTGCAGCAAACCTTCCTGAAGTTCCCAAAAGCTTGTTGTAACAGGAGTACTGTATGGACTTTATCTCAAAGTCTTTCCCTCAAACCTCAAATTTTCTGGAGGCCTTTCTCTATTATTTTATGGACACAGGAAAGATAAGCAATACAAATAATGTAACTTGATGCATTTTGAAAGGAAGTGAAAGACTAATTAGGCAAATGAACCCTTGCCTCCAAGTTCAACATCCTTTCAACTCATTTAAGTAACAATCATTTAAAGCCCAGCAAAATATAAAAAATTAAAATTTTCTGTAATTCTCCTGTATTTTCCTAATGAAAAATGCCCGTTTCCCTAAATTCAGTTTTTTCTGGTCCCTTGAAGTTTGACTGAAAACGGTTTGAATTTCTTATCCAGATAACGCTACATTATTCATATTATCATTATTATTTGCCAGAAGGATGCAAAACAACAGGAATTTATAAATATAAGTTAATAGTGAACTTTCAAGGCATTATAATAACGAAAATGAAAATACAATAAGTCACCTTCAATATTGACTTTCATAGCGAGTCTCAGGTTTTGCTCCCCTATAGCGCTCAATAAAGCGCTAAAGTGAATCAGCCAGTCAATTCGATGCGTAACGACGATGTTGTGAAGTCCTTCTCTGTCCAATATGTCAGCATACAAATAGGGTCCTGTTCAAAAATATTTGTTTCATTAAACATGAAATATTTCAATGATACACCGAGGATCATTCGTTTTCAATATTCACTGAAATATATACTGGGGGATAGGCATTCACTTCTGCGCTTGAATTATGTTACAGAAAATGTCATTGTAATAAATCAATGCAGACCATATGTCCTAATTTCTCACAGTAATCCTCTTTCCGGATAACGATTTATTTTAGGAGCACGTGAGGTTATGAATAATATGTACGTTGAATTGTGCACGTAATGTTTTTGACGATTAATTTTAGCACAGCATCAATCCATAAAATGAATGACGCACAGAAAAAAAGACAAACCGCTTCGCATTATGTCAAGATCCGGCTTCACGATGTCAGACATGATGACATTATCGCTCCCGAACTTGGCACGCAAAATCTTCGCCAGACCTCGTCCCAACTGCCCGAGAGCACCTGGAAAATATACATTAGCGACGATTTCATATGACGCAAAATAATACTGTATCCCAGAATGCGTTTCGTCCTTTATTGCTTACGTCAACATTTTGGCACACGAAACGCGTCGGATGATCGTATGACGTAACCAACCAAAGAAAACGAAGAACGAGGTTATAAAATATCATTCAGATGTTCTACTGGGTCAGAAGGTCAAATCGATTCGAAACACATGGTTCTGCACGCGGGTTCCAAAATGACGTGAGCAGCTCAACTGCTTCACTATACGCGTTTGAACTTGAAATTCATCAGTTTTTTCGGATCTTAAAAACGCAACGACGAAACTTAAAAACGCAATGCAAGTCACTTAGTCACACGAACTTAACTTCAAACAAACAAAAAAAATTTCAAAATTCAGGTCAAGTTAATACGGACTTTGTTTTCGGGTACTGAAATAAGAATTACTGTATAGCAATTCATTATAATTTCGCAAATTAGTCCACTATATCATCACCCGAAGGCGTCACTCAGATGAAATCGCCCAAAATTTTCCACTCACCAGTGATAAGAACCTTCGGTGGACCCCCAGGGTTCGTTGATAACGTTTTCCGGAAATTCGCTTCGCCAACAAATGATCGTGGCCCAAGAATCGCAAAACATGCTGCATTTCGACCCACTTGTCGCATCCACGATGCGTTCATCTTTTATATACCCTATATCGTATCGAAAGCAGCTTTGCGCAGTTGATAAACCGGAAAATCAGCTCGAGCTCGAAAGAGAGAACACTCATCAGAAAAGCGAAAGATTACATATACGGAGGTTATTTCGAAACGAAGGTCAATCAATTCTGAGTACAAGGAAGTAATCCGACAACCCGGAAACCCGTTCCTCACGTATACAACGGCAATTCGCAATAACCGCTATTCCACCGAGAGGGACGTTGCGTTCATGCATTTCATTTTTTGCATTCATTCATTCCCGTGAGCATTGATTTGATTTTGAAATAAGTTCGGTCGTCGTGAAATTGGCCAAGGAAAGACAGTACGTGCAGCAGTATATACTGCACTAGATCAGTTTCACATTTGATGACACCTCATATAAATCAGCAGATGGCGTTCGCGAGGGAAACTCGTGATTTGATTTCTCCTCAATATAAACCGTGAAAAACTCATGACCATTCCACCATCAGTAATTTCAGTTCAAGGACACAATAATGAGAATCCCGAATTCTCCCGGAAGTGTTGATGTTGACGGGAGATACAGCCAGAAAAAACACAATCAATACTCTTAATTTAGAACGCATCAGTTATATGGTATTGCGTCTCATATATACAGTACAATTATTCTCGTTCTCGGAGCCCAACAACTGATGTGTGGCACGTCCGGCAATTCTCACATGAGTGACATGACGTGCGGTAACCGTATCACTTAATTGGATTAGAATCACGTAAAATCACACACTGCGTAAAAGATATCGAGATTCCCTCCGCAGCAAAACTTTTCAAGATGCACCGCAATACGACTCGGAGTCCACAGCTTCACGAACCCACAATGCGAACATGAGCTGCCTCCGAAATACGAAGGAGCAGTGAAATTTTGGAATTCGCAACGGATCTTCGAAACACGCTTGATTTTACTCAACGATCAGGGAACGCACTCACACAATACTGTACTGTATTTGGAACTGCTCCCTGCTGGTGAAACCGGCAAAGAACCGAATAAGGGCACACGGGTTCTGCGCAGTGTAAGGAATACCAGAGTCTGCGCTGTGCTGCAGCAGGTCTAACGAGAACTATACAGGCTTCATGAAATGCCTCAACCCGCATGACAGTCCAAGGGATGACCAGAAATTCCCCGGCAGGGAGGGTTCAGAGAAACGCGCGGGCTTCTGAAGAGCATGAGTTTGACGTACCGGACCTATGACGGGCTGTTCACAAATACTGTACAGTACTGTAAAGTGCAGTACTGCAGATTCCACAGTGACAGAAAGTTTCAGCTACCCAAATACAGTACTAAACGTATGTAGTGAAGCAAAAATTCCTGAAAAATTGAATGAAAAACATAGAGGAATAATCGATCAGTTTTTGCATTTTCTTGTGAATAAATACTGAACATGAAATGGAAGTTGGTTTTTCATTCCAGATATGCTCATATTTTAAGAAATTCTGTCTCAAGAAAGAAGCCAAACAAATAAAGATGCTGGTGAGAGGTCTGAAAACCTGAGAGTGTAAAGAGGTTCTCTCCAAAATCAGTTCTTGCACTGCTCCCAACAAGAAATTCTATATGAAACCTTCCTGTTTTCTTTGTACGTGTATATTCTCAGACTCCGACCCATTTTGAAGAACAAAGAATATAAAAAAAATCAGTCTTGAAATTGAAACAATATCACAGATAGTTTCAGGGTTTGTTCACTGCACCACAAGCTCTTGCAGTACCATCCTGCGGGGAGCCACTGTTGTCATTAGTGCTGACTCTGATGGATCTGGTATAAAGACTTTGTCCAAAGTAAGGCCACAAGGTTGCTAAAGCAGCTGGGGTATTGTCTTCAATGGTTGCTGTGCCAGAATCATCTGCAGTTGCTGAGGACACCAGAAACCCTCCATTGGTTGCCTGAAACATGCATCACTCTGATTGTGTGGTAATTCCAGTAATGAACTCATATTATAATGAAAAGTTCAAACAGATTTCAAAATTAGTGATACAATACTGTATTCATATTTGGAATATTATTCAAGTTTTCCAAAATACTGTGGTTTCATAATCTATGCAATACTTGACAAAAATTCAGAAACTTTTCCCACTCTTTCACAGCAGCTAGCAGCTTTATGATTGAAGAAGTTTGCTGACAATTAGTTATTTAATAAGTGAACCAGTTTAAACTGGCCCTAGCAAGGAAGTAATGAAAAGCTCCTGGGAAAATTGAAAGCAGAGGTTTTATTTATCTGAGCCTACCATATTTGGATTGAAGAAATCTCCTTGATTTGCACAACCATCAGCCACATTGCCACTTCTCCTGGCATGAATATTGATTGACTCCCCAGCATTCAATCCAGTGATGCTGCCACTGATCCTGAGGTTATCCAAGAAGAATCTGTGTGTGAGCAGCAGCGTGCCCTCTACACCATCACTGTCAGTTGCTGCATTTAAGACAACAGTAGCAACTTTGTCATCCAACAACCCTGTGAGGTCAACTGCTTGGACCACATCAGCCACTGTGTCACCCAAACCTGGGTCATCAACAAACCCAAGGGACGGAAGACTACGTAGACAAGTACGTATGTCTCGTCTATTTTCTTTGTTTAGAAGTTCAATTCCATTTAGGTCTTATCAAAATTCCAAAGTACAATACTAATTTGTATTAGAAAGGCAACCAATTCAATTTTTTATTTCCAATGTGCTGGTTTACAGTCCAGTGCTGTAGTGTTGCATTTGTATGGCCAACAGCACATACATAATTAAAACTTTAAATACTCTACAGAAGATGTTGCCATTGGTTTTCTTAAAATAAGGACTGAGATTCTTTGCTGACTTGTCCTAGTGTAAATCAATGTCTCAAAGTGTCCAAATTTGTCAGGCAGACAAAATTTTTTAAATTTATAAAATAAGATTTCAATATTTTTCTCACAACATTTTTCCAATCATTTTTGAGCTTTTTACTGACATTATTTTGAAAAAAAAGATAAAATATTTATACAGTGGCAAAATGCTTGTCCCAATTCAGTTCAAAATTGATAAAAATCAAAAATATTAGATTATTAAATTTAACCATTTTTGTTGATCAGTCTTTAATAACTGCATAAACGATTTCAAATCCCTGCTCCCCAGGTTCTCTCAGATCATGAATTATATATTGAGGCTGGCAACACTGAGTTACAATTTTGAAAGTAATTACTGTATTAAATTCCCCCAACCCAACAGAAGTTTTCTAGTTGAGAAACTTTCTTTCTGGAAACGGATAAATCGAAATCCATTTGATGATAATTTCCAATACTGGTAAATTTCGCTATACTTGAAATTTTGATTTTAGCAATCCAGGATTAAAGCTTGACCTGGTTGAAGAAATTCTTCTGCATCGTCATCAGCGTTTTGCAGGTGCCACTGAAAGTCAATTGCAATACCATCTTCAGGAACAGAACCACTTTCAAAATAACTGAAAGGGATTCCTTCCACTGATGCCAAGAAAATAACCAAGCACCAAGAACAAACGCGTTTCCACATGACTAAATTCTTTGAAATTTGAAAAAAAAATGAGAAAATTATTCACTGTTGAACAGATGGACCTCATGCAAAGAACAGCTGCAAGTTCACTGATGACTCTGACTTTCTAAAACTTTCTTTGTGATCATGTATCAGAGGTTGAGTCCACTTTTGCCCGTCTTCCAACAGTAACCCCCTACTATACTTTGGCCAAACTAGATAGACAGTCTTTGTCATATGACATGACATAAACTCAACATTCTTTTAAAATGACATGAATTTAAATTTTATGACATGAACCTAGCATTACAAAATGCTTATGAAATTTTGGTTTACAAGGTAGTCGAACATAGGTGACTAAAATTGTCCCTGACGCGTTAAGTGAACTTTCCTAATAAACCGTTTTACTTGACGCCTTTAAGTTTTAACCCTTGGTTTGATTTTAACATTTCCCTTGGTTTTACATACTATAGTAAAAAAAAAATTAGGAAACAGTAAAGACGATTATTTTTGCCTTTTTTCAGGTCACTCAGAAAGAGGTCACTATAGTTATACCTGCTGTCCTTAATTATTGAGGACTGATGTACCAATCAAATTTTTTATTAAATGACCGACAAAATTCAGACACTAGACTTTTTAATTCTTGAATTTTTTCTTAACCACATAAGAATGAACTCAGAAGAACAACGGCTTAATGCATATATATTGCAACTAGTGACAAATGCCAAGTGACGGCTTTCTTTCTGAAATTTTATTTTCCTCTTGATTTTCTCTTTCCTTATACTCACTGTTTCTTCGACGTGGCGCGAGTTTTTTTGTTTTCATACTAGGTTGTGCGGTTTTGTGAAGCACGATTTCTACTTTTTTTCTTCTTTTCATTGACATAATGTTCCTTCTTGTCTGCACCATTTATTCATACGAAGGATTAATTATTGTGATTTTATTTGTTTTTGCATACACGTGATAATGTTTGAATTTTGTTCAATTTATTTATAGGCTTACAATTTTGTTTCAATTGATATTTCATCAGAATAGGGATTCAAATAGTCATATTGCATGAAAAAAATTATGCAATTTTTTCCAAGTCCAGGAGAATTTTTTTCTTCCACTTGTGATTTGTGGGGCATATCATTTTTACCAGGTTACACTCAGACTCTCTGGCGCAATTGTACAACAGCAACTAATGTATCCATACTGTTTTACATTAATATACCATGCATGCAAATTGTTTCATTTATTGCATGTCAGGAAATGAAGAGAGAACATGTACCATACCTCAGTTTTCTTGCATTAACAGGGGGTACACAATACACTGAATACAGTACAGTGGATGTCTTATGGACAAGTTTTGATGGGTAAAATATAATATTCCTCATCTTTAATTCCATTGGGAAAATAGGAAAAATTTATTTGGTTACAGCAGAACCAAAAAAAGCACTGTATTTACTCAAGTTCAAGTACCAAATTAACTCAAATAAGATGTAGACCATGATTTTGAAGACAAAAATTAAGGTAGAAAATTCCTGCATTAAGTGCAAACTCGAAACTTTTAATGACCAATTCAAACAATACTAAAAATTGCAACAGTTGAAATTTGATTAAAACTGAAATATGAAAAACAAAGAAAGACATGACAATTTATTGTTCAGCTCAAGTATGTATTTGATATGCAGTACTGTACTTTTTGTTGCTTTCTTGCATTTTTCTTTTAAATTGGACATGAAATTCAAGTACTATGCGCAAATAATTGGTAAAAATAAATTGCATTCAAGGAAGATGCGCACAACATTTATAAAGTTTATTTCCAATTAATCTTGAAACCCTTTTATGGTGAAAAAAAATCACATAGAAATTTGATTGCTTGCTCATAGTGATAAATTGCTGAAATTCATGCAGTTTTTGCTTGGATATTTTTGTTTTCATTCTGAAAATCTTTAAATAAAGACAATTCTTAGGTAATGATAGATTTTTGGGGGAATGTTTTTTGAACAAGTCACCTGTTACATGGGGGGACACTGTAATGAGTTTGGGAAATCAGTTACTGCTGGCACAGATTTTCCCCTCAGAACTGCTGGGTATCCATGGCAATCCAACCATTGATTTCACTGTGTGGGTATATTGAACCAGCCACTATAGTTCCAGACAAGAACCCAGATATAAGAGAAAGTCCTGCTGCAATCAACACTTCATCAAACAAACTGAAATCATGCAACAAAAAACCTGGAACACAAAGAAATTTCAGGTCAGTCAATGAGGAAATAAAAGCAGCAATGTGAGGTTCCTGTTTTCCTCTATTTTTTACTTTGTCATTTTTCTTCCACTTATACAACATCACGAATTTTCCTTACTCCTCTTTCCTTCCCTCCAATAATGTATTCTCAACATAAAAAAAAAGGATTTGTTCATTTCCCTTCTCTCAGGTTTTTTTTTTCCTTTCACCTCCACCATCCAATAACACACTGAACCAGTTGGTCAATCCCTTCCCTTATTTCACTTGGCCTTTGTTTCTTCACAGAAGTTCATTTCTTCCCTCCTCTAATTTTTTTGTACTTTCTTTCCCATGAATTACAATATCAGAAAAAGAGGAACTGAAGATGGTGGGAGAACAAATATTTGAACCTTCACCAAAAAAAAAAAGGACTAGAAGTTTCTAAAAAAGAAAAGTCAGAAACAAGGATTTCTTTTCACCGGGCTTGGCTTGGTTTTCTTTTGGCAGCAATTTGAAAAAGGGGAAACAAATTTTGGTTTTTGAGTATCGACATGAAGAGGAGGACAAGAGCAGAAGACTTGGGTTTGTTTTCCGTGTCTTTGTTTCAGTATCTTTTTTGATTCCCAACACACAAATTACAAAAGAAACAAAAAAAACCGCATCCTCCTCCTCCTTTCTTTCTCTCTCTTTCTCTAAAAACACCGATATTCTCAATAATTAATTCGTATCACATACATTTAGAAAAATTATGGATATTCCCTCGATCTCAAGATATATGTACAAACTCGGGGCGAGGGACGAAAATATAAAATTCCCGCTGGGTTTTTTTTGCGCGGTGTCATGGGTTCTTTTTTTTTTTTCGTTACCCGGCAGCCTCGGAATTCTATAAGAGAGACTTTTGGGTGGTGGAACAACAACTAAAAGAACAACAAAAAATGTTTTCCCAACTCAAAAGTTACACGAAAAATGCGCGAAAATTTCTTTGTTTTTTCTTTCTTCCTTTCTTGAGGATCTCGTTCGTTTCACGTCGCTATAAGTGTTGATTTTTTTTTTTGCAAACTTCCGGACACGCACTCATCATCGTCATTTTTTTTTCTTCTCATCCACTCACTTGGTGTAAGGCAAAAGGGCGAAATTGCACTTGGAATTCAATGATCAATATCCCGAATTTTTCAGTGCCTATATTCAAAAGAACCCTATTTGGTTTTTTTTTTAAACCATATAAATACGTCGACCTCCGGAAATCTCACACAGATTTTTTGGTGGGTGAACGTCGACTTTGTTTTTGTCGTTGTTGATGAAAGAACCCAAAAAATTGACACTGCACGCCAGCATTTCACTCGGTACGACATTTTTCTAGAAATTGTACAGCATTTTTTATTATGCATGTAGACTCGCAAAAAAAATATACCTCGTACTTTTCCTGGCCATTCATGAATCCTTTTGTCAATTTTTTATTATATTCAATTTAAACAAGAAATATGACAATCATGGAATGAAAATGGAGTTGAAAGAAAGCAGCAGAAAATTTAATTAATTTAATTCACGCAAATTAAATATTGATTTCCATCAACGATGGAGATTTCTTAAAAAATTTTTAGATGGTCAAAATCCTATTCGAGCTTATTGAAAATGTTTTCTGCTCCATAGAAAGCAATAAAATACGTCCTCAAGCTATTTTGCGAAAAATTGACGAATTTGCGCATAATTTACAGCCTATTCAATTAATGATTGAAATTCCAGCATGAAAAAGTGCACAGTTGCCCGGAATACTTTTTGAAGCGTTTCGTTTGTTTACAAATTAAATTGCTTTCCGAGCCGAACTTCAAGATATCTTCAGCTTCAATCAACAAATTTTGACTATTTTGACACAAAAATTACCTGCTTCTCAATACTTCGAAAAAAGAGGAATAGGTAAATGAATTATTATACTAAAATGCTTTCTCAAGTTGTAGCACAGTAAAAACTTTTAATTGGTTAATTATTGACGCGATATAATCTAAAAAATTGACGTAAGCTCAAACTTGAAGGTATATTTATTCTGAAACTGATTGGAGTTTTATTATTCTCTTTCGCAATCCATTTCGATTTTAGTCAATTCATGAGTAAAAATATCAGGTCATTGTAAAATCTTACATCAATGTTATGTTTTTTTTGGGAAACAAAAAAGGAAAATCTTTTGCGAAGGTTTCTTGGACCAAATATAAATCATGAAAAGACCTAATCCATTCTTAGCCATTTCTCAATACACCTAAATTTTAGTGAATTCAGAAACTAAAATCTCAAGTCATCAGCAGATCTTAATTAAATGGCATGCTTTTGTTGAAAAAAAAAGGAAAATCCTTTGTGAAAGTTTTTTTTAGACCACCTATAAGTCATGAAAAGATCTGCTTCATTCATCCTCAGTCCTTTCAACTTGTGCAACTAAATCGAATTTACGTATCACAAGTAAGCTCATGTTCAAACTTGAGTGGTATTTTTTGATGAATTCCTGACACAAGAAAAGAGGACTAACCATACTCTCTCAAATTGAAAAAAAACAACATCATCCAGTCCCTCACGTACCAGAACACCAACAAATATCATACCAGGGTACATTAAAAAAAAAGTCTCACTCAACCAACAAGTGAAATGCTGCAGTGCAGTGAATTTGCCCTAAGACCGACCAACAATATCACAAACACAAACAACACACCATTTTTCTTTTTCGGGGAAGCCACTTCCCAACCATGTTCCCCACCCAGTAAGAGATTCTTGCATCCCACTGACAAAGAAAAAAATTTCTTTTTGACTAGGCCAATTAAACAGGCAATAAAAAAAAAGACTAATGACCCCCTTGAACACATTCGAGTCGGCGGGAGGAAAGAATGGCACAAGATAAAAACTTGGGGGGAAAAATGCCACGGATCCCAAAAAATCAGAGACAATTTAATGGCCTCTTTTTCGTCACCTCACTTATTCCTTCTTCCCCTTAAACAAAAACTTTTTTTCTTTTCATAAATGCCTCGATCGAGAGAAAAAAAATCTATAAAAAATCTAATACTTCTTTTTTTTCCTCTTGTCCACAGGGTGTTTTCTTATTCAAACAAAAAAAATGTTTGACTCCAACCTTTTCTTCCCTGGTATAAAAAAGAGCAAAAAATCAAGTAAGACAGCCTCACTGAAGTGAAATTAAAAAAACTGACTCCCGTTTACAAAAAAAAAAATACTTCCCGGTTTCAAATTTCTTCTTTCGTTTGAAAAATAGCGACGATAAGACCGAAAGAAAACGAGATTGGCGAGTGTCGAACACGTCACAGTAAAATTTCAAAAATGAGAAATTTCGGGAAAGTTCAAACACTTCCTCAATCCGTCGGAAACAGTTTTGGAAATTGGCTGAAAAATCAAATTATTTCTTGATGACGTTCCAAAATTTGAGGGACTCATTTTCTAATCCTAACTTTAAAATTTACATTAGGAGGTGTTTATTTTTCTTCTTTGTGAAGAATTTAAAAACCTCAGAAGCGATTAACACAGAAGAATCACGAAATTTTCAGAGAATTCTAAAAGAAAACCTTTCTCAAAATTCTTTCAATTCTACAAAAAGATGTGCGTGAAAAAAAAAATCTGAACCCGACGTTGAATTTTAGGGATTTTTCCTGCGCATCTTTTCTAAAATTTTGATTCAGAAAAATTCTTCTCTACATAAAAAAAAAATTCGGAATTTCAGAAGAATTAGACACACTTTGAAATTTAAAACCCCAGGATCAGGATTCGATGAATTTCGAATTTAAATGCAGAGAACCTTTTCTTCACAAATTTCTGGAACCTCAGAATCACAAAAAGACAGAACAGAGATATTCGTCACGTTTTCAGAAAAGTTCGAACGACACTCCTTTTATCTTTTTTTTTTTAATTTAATCAGAAATTGAAATTGCCAACGTCCCTCATCATCATCAGCAACAACCTCCATCAGCAATTTTCTCTGCAGTTCATATACTCGAATTTCAATAATTTTCCCTTTCGAACCTCAGAAGCGTTTGAACTTCGAAAAAAAAAACCAACGGACAAAATATCGCGACAAATTCTGCGACGAAAACAAAAAAAAACTTTCAAGCAATAAGGAAATCATGTAGTCAGTCAACTTTGATCCTCTTGCCGGTGTTATTATTGTCGGCGTCTCCAGGAAACACGAGGTCGTGTCGTCGCTTGATCGACGACGCCGTCGTCGTGGCAGCGACGACGACACCCGGATTATTCGACGGAGACACGAGCAAGTCCCAGCAGTAAGTGGCGACCCGGGGCGGGAAACACGGCTGATGAAACAACGACGGAGGAGGAGACAACAGTGTCGACGCCGTCGAGCAGAAGAGTGGTGTCGGTGTCAGTGTCGTCGGGATCGACACTGATGACGGCGGAGACGACGTCGACGCCGGCGTCCTTTCTCCGGGCTCCAGCAGCAGCAACGACGATGACGACGACGACGACGGAACAGGCACAGGAATGTGGTAGAACTTGCAAACTGGTCTGGAGCACTTGCCCTTCACCGAGTCACGGCACACCATCACAAAATCTCCCTTGATCATAGTGTGTTCTTTGCAAAAAAAAAAAAAAAACAGAAACTAAATTATATTTCTCAATATTCAACCAAATGAAATAAGTTGAAATTAGAGTTTCATGTTGGGATCTTCAATACATAAAGGGTGGGCCAAAAAAAAAAGTGAACCGCTTTTTGACTCATAATATTGTTGGTGTTGTGCAATAATAATTAATTTAATATAAATTACTAGAAATATATAAATCATTCCCCCCTCCTCAGAATTGCAGTGCCAGCCTTTGACTTGAGAATACCTGACCTATTAAAGGTGTAGAAACCAATAAAGGTTAATTATATCTCTGAGTATATAAGCAGCTCATCTAGATCAGATAAGTACTTTATTTGACTTATTTGTTAACCAACTTATCCTAGCTGCAAGAAGAGTTTGCTGATTTGTTCATCAGTTTATCTTTGTGAAATACCAGGAATTCCTAAAAGGAATTTCCTGTCCCAGACTGATTGTTGTGTTTTATTGCAATACTTGACACTTGACATCAACTTATATTGCGGTGACTAGACAGGGGTTAACAACCAGTTGGTACGGTGTTATTCACAGTATGTTATTAAGACCCTTAGTCTTCATGACATAATCTAAAGTGAGGGAGAAAATCTACTTATTTCCAAGGAACTAACTATTAGAGACTTCAGGCAGAGTTTGCTGAGTTGAATTGCTTGCTTTTTTTTCTTTGGATTCATATCAATCAAATTCATTTTCACTTACTTATCTTAGGCTAATGAACTTTGCTCTTCAACAACCATAGCTTATTGGTAGCAAATCAAGCTGTGGCAATGAAAAAGACAGAGAATGAAATTTTGTTCAATTCCCTTTCAAATGATGGATAGTTTTATGCTCCCAAGTGCCACCAAATGGTCACAAGAACTATTTGAATGAACACTTTCCAAACAAAACAAAAAATTGTCAGGCAATTCCTTCCACTAGGATGTTTTTCTCCAGAGCTGTTTTTAGGTATAAATGGGGGTCCAGGACCAGTAATTTAATCAGCAAACTTTATGTTGCCTACAAGTGGGTGCAAACATTGTCAACATTTAGGAGGTGGGGGTGAGAAATGAAAGATTTTGATCCAATTTTGAATCCCACTGCAAACTTGCTGAGTGAAACCCTTATGGCTCCTGTGGCTCCCTGATGCATGAAACTTTTTCAACCCTACTGACCTTACGAGGTTTAACCAAAGTGAGTAATTAGTGTTACCACCCCACCTACTCACGTAAAAGTAGACATCGTCACTTAGAATTTAACACTTAGTTGGTAAACTTTTCCTTGAGTTTTATTTTTAATTTGGTGTTTTCTATTTCATTTCCACAGCAGCTCAATTTGCTACCAAGCTTTTGTAAGTCAAAAATCGGTTCCCTTCTTTTTGGTCCACCCTGCACAGAGATACCTTTTCAAGTCAAACTTGAACATAATGATAAAGATAAGATTAGCTGAAACAACAACATTTCATTTTTTTCAGCTGGCATGGCAAGATTTTGGCATCCTGTGACATGGGTGGAGAAATCTGAATGCAACTGGAAAGTTTTCACTTATCATGTAGTAAATTTTGAATTTGTTTCAAAAGTCCAAAATAAAAATCCCAAAACCTTGGAACATCATGGGCTTTGCCATGATTTTCTTTTTTCTTTTTTGCAATCACACCTACGCTGGAAATATCAGAAATCACGTCCAACTGGGAAAAACCTCGTACAGTTGAATATCGGTAAAACAAACTTTTAGGGAATTCAGAAAAAATTTCGCCATATTGCATCCATTTTTTTTTTGTAGAGAGATATTCGAATTATTTAGGGACTGGAAGACATTTTTCACATCAGACCTGCCTATACAGGTACAGTATGCAATCATAAATTAGATCTTGCTTTTCTGGCCCTTCTATAGTATACAAGTGAGACCAAGAAATAAAGAAAGACAAAACTCACCACTCAGTACGTGTACGAACTTGCATGCAGGTCCTCGGGCACAGGCGAGGCCCAGCTTAAAATCTCTGCAGACCCGGAGCCGGTCCAGTAACTGTGATGACGGGCATCGGCAGCATGCGGATTGGGATGACTGGAATGCTCCAAATTGGTTTCACTCATTAATCACAATGGTGGGGTGGATGAGTGCATTTTCATCTGTAGCAGTGAATCTTAAATTGTGAATCAACCATTTGAAAAGGAACTCAAAAGTTTTTAATTTGGTGTTTTCTATTTCATTTCTACAGCAGCTCAATTTGCTACCACGCTTTTGTAAGTCAAAAATCGGTTCCCTTCTTTTTGGTCCACCCTGTACAGAGATACCTTTTCAAGTCAAACTTGAACATAATGATAAAGATAAAATTAGCTGAAACAACAACATTTCATTTTCTTCAGCTGGCATCAGAGGCGGCCCTAGGGTTTGCGGGGCCTGGGGCAAGCATGTCAAATGCGGGGCCCCTTAAAAAATGCTCCTTGCCAATTTTAAAACAGCACTGGAACAATGAAAAACAAGATTTGTATCAAAGTACAGCTGCAAATCTAATTACATTTTTGAAAGCTTTAAAAAGGTCTTTTGCAAGTTGAATGTTTTATAATCTTTTTAATCACTTGTACTATAGCATATTTTAAATGCAGAATTGTTTGTTTTGGCTGAACTGGTTTTACAATTCAAATTTTCAAAATTTAAAATCACCAAAATGAACATTGCAAATAAAATTGATATAACAGCAATAATAATTACTGCAGAAAAGAAGTGCAGCTAATCAAAACTCAATGGTTATCATCTTTGTGAGGCCAAATTAAGCTGATCAGCATTCATTTATTTGAACATTCTGCAGATTAAATACATTTTTTTGCATGTGTTATTCTGGAAAATTTATCTGATGTATCAGTTATCCTGCTGATAATCTTCAGGATGAACTTGAGAGGACTTTGAAAAATTGTCATGGCAGTTTTCAAGTTTTACAATGATGGCCTAATTTGTGTACAGGTTGATGGAGAAAATCATTTTCTGACCTTCTTATAAATGTTGCTCATTAACACAGTACCAATGTTTAGAAATACAGCTTATCTGTTTATAAAAACATCACAGATATTATTTTTCTCATTTTTTTGGAACAGCTGCTCTAAAATCTGGCCTGCACCTTATAACAGAAATGCATTTCTGCAGGATAATTTTACTGGCAAGGGACTAGCTTTAAAACCAAAAACATCCCATTCAGGGGATTTGAAAGGAATTGTTCTTGGGAGGTTTGCCAGGGATACACTGGAAATGCAATTACAAAAGATCATTAAAACCAATAAAGTTCATGCTCTAGCAAGTTCCAGAAAAAATATTATTCTATCCGTAATAGAGAAAGCAGCATATTTACTTTGAAGTCATGATGAATGAATGTGAATTTCATTGTAATCTTGATCATCATATTTTTAGAAATATTGATTGCAAATTGGATCATAATTGCATAAACTATGTGGGAAAGTTTAACGTTGAGGATTACCATTACAGTATTTAATGGTGATTCAAAATTCCATATGCATTTTTTCTATTTGAATTCTTATTTTTAAGAACTCAACAAGACCTTATAAAATATAAAAATGCATTTATCTTCAACAGAAATTTCAGTGAAGATTGAAAAATGTATATACAGTAGGAAAGCTCTTATGCAAATATTCTTCTAAATGCATTGTTGGCTCTGTTGTGCTCTGCTAATGTATAAGATTACTTGTCAGCAAACTTTGTAAAGAGGTAAGAATAGACTAGTTTTTTTAGAAGGGGGCCCCACTCCTTCCAGTTTTAAAAATGTGGAAAAAATTTTGAAGGGGACAGCCAATTTTCAGAGCCACTGAATGGCAGGGCCGTCCTTGAGTGCGGGGCCCCCTCAAGCGCGGGGCCTGGGGCGGCCGCCCCTCTCGCCCCACCCTAGGGCCGCCACTGGCTGGCATGGCAAGATTTTGGCATCCTGTGACATGGGTGGAGAAATCTGAATGCAACTGGAAAGTTTTCACTTATCATTATGCAGTAAATTTTAAATTTCTTTTAAAAGTGAAAAATAAAAATCTTAAAATCCTGGAACATCATTGGCTATGTCACGATTTTTTTTTTTGCAATCACACCTACTTCAGAAATATCAGACACCACGTCCAACTGGGACAAACCTCGCTCAGTAAAATCTCGGTAAAACAAACTTTTCGGGAATTCAGAAAAATTTCGTCATATTGCATCACTTTTTTGTAGTTAGGTTTTCAAAATTATTTAGGGACTGGAAGACATTTTTCACATCAGACCTGCATATACAGGTACAGTATGCAATCATAAATTAGATCTTGCTTTTCTGGCCCTTCTATAGTATACAAGTGAGACCAAGAAATAAAGAAAGACAGAACTCACCACTCAGTACGTGTACGAACTTGCATGCAGGTCCTCGGGCACAGGCGAGGCCCAGCTTAAAATCTCTGCAGACCCGGAGCCGGTCCAGTAACTGTGATGACGGGCATCGGCAGCATGCGGGAAAACACCAGTGTCCACAATCGCATCACAAGTTTCGTCCCCATCAGCGATGCCCAACCCCAGCACCAGAACCCAAATTCACCCCCACCACACACACACACACGCACATGTGGTCGTATGATATGGTTGGTGGGCAGGATGACGGGGTTGTGATGATCGCACGTGTGTGTATACATTTTTTTTTGGGGGTTCGGTCGGCAAAGAAAAAAAAAGTAAAACAGAAACGAAAGAGAGAGAGAAAAAGAAAAAAAGAAGAGAAAAGAGATAGAGAGAAATAAACAAAAAAGGAAAAAAGAAAACAAACGCCATAAACAACATCGCAAGTTCACGACGCGACATCTGGCGCCCAAGCCATGCGGGCACCGGGTAATTACTACTCGTGCATGCGGATAGGTGGCACTCCGAGGCAAGCAGCGATAGCAGTAACAACATAGCGAGCGACTTTCCTTTCGGTTATTTCGTGTTATACAACGAACAATAAGTCACGACGTTTTTTTTTCTTAAATCGCAAAAAAACCACGAATACAACAAACACGCAACAACAGAGGCCATGGACACACGCTGCAGCAGCGAACTCTGACCGGTTACGCGAAAGTGAGATTGAAGCTTAGCTGTACAAGTTTTCCACCAGGTGACGTTGCATGTCCTGTCTGGCAAGCGGCAGCAGCAAATGGCGCTTTGGTCGTTATGTAGAGGCATGAAGTACAATATTACATACACTCGCATGATGTCAACCATTCTAGAGTAATTGTTCCAATTCCAATGAAATCAGATCAAATGTAAGTGCCTCACTCAGTTCAAGGAATAGATCACTGTAAGAAAGTTCCTAATTCTCAGGGTTATGATATACAGTACTGTGTGTTGTAGGTTAGTGGGCTGCATAAATCTGCACTAAAAACATTTCGTTATATGTTCAAAAGTCAAACGAATAAATGCTTAAAATCATTGGTTTCACAAACAAATATGCCAGCATGGATTTGCCTCTAGGACAATACAATATTTCCCCATGAGGCCATGACAGCAATTAATCTCTCACCCTAAAACTAAGAGCAATGAAGAACAATAAGCATGTCACCATACTTTAGTAGCTTCTCAATTTAAATGATTTGATTTTTATCTATTATTCAGAGTAGAAGGTGATCCTCAAGTTCAACAAGCACAAAATTTAAGAAATTGCATTCTAGAAAAAATGTGATACTGTATATAACTTACATATACAGTAATGCATCAATATTAAAAAGCTATTGCTACTTTGCAACTCTTGAAACACTTTTTTCTCATTCGAATGCGATCAGTTGAATCCCATGGATTGTTCTTTCTTTTGAAGATTTTTTTTAGATATTTCATATTACAGTACATTAATATAATTTTTAATAATACAGCATTGGCATTAACAATGAGAATATAACTAAAATCAGATTTTTGCTCATAGTCCAGAAAGGCAGCCCACTTGATCATTAAAATATAAAATTCGAACTGTCAGACACAAACAAGTAATGTACAGCAGTGGAGTTTTTTTTTTCAATTACATATACCGCATGTGGTTAACAAAAAATGGTGAATTTTTTGAAAGCCATGGCAAATAATTGTCTACTTCCAGTCATGAAAAAACGAGGCAATTAGTCAACCTTAAATTGTGTAAATCTAAACTGATTGAATTTCTTCAACATCCAACTGTGAAAAATATGATGGATGTCAGAATCCGTCTTATCGTCCACGAGATGTCGTTGCACGCGGAACACGCCTCCTAACGTCATCTATCAATCGTACGCGAAAAGCGCGACGCACTCCCAAAACGCCAGAAATGCCGCACAGATGTCGCGCGCGTATACCTGACCATTCCCGTCCACGTAAGTCACGCTCCGCGCGTTGCCCGCTACCACGACACTGTCGAAACTCTGCGACGGCGACAGCGACACCACTGACACTGGCACTTGCACTGAACCCGGCAACTGGCGACCTTGCAATTCAAAACGACGACGACGACGAGAATCCGGAAAAGGAATACGAGAGAGTACACGATTTTTTTTGTTTGTCTCCACGGAGGAAAATTGGACGCGGGAATATTTCCCTTCGACACTTTTTCTCACTGCTATTGACGTCAGTGTCACAGTCCCTGTCAATCACGCCTGGTTCACATTGCAATCCATCGCTTTCCAGAGAGTTCGACAAACTATTCAGCTTCGTTTTATATATATAAAAAAAAGAAGAGATACGCCGCTTAGTTTCGACTGTATCCAGGTTGACAAGTCTCCAGGTGACACCGGAACGAATTGAGGTTTTCAATTTCCAAGGATCATTGAATGGTCATAATATAAAGCTTCAGCAACATGTTCAGACACCACTATTAAAATTATTCAGCCACAGAAACCTTTCTTATTCGAAGAATTAATTCAGTGATGAGACACTTCGACAATTAGTTGCATTCGAGAGGCAGAAAAAGTTCACCCTTCATTCAGATTTTGCGCGATTACAAATTCTCAAGTTCTTTAATTTAAAAACAAGAGAAATTAAACATTTAGAAATTGAGGAATTTGAACAAAACAAAATTTTCATGTTGTCAAGAAGAAATATCAGATAGATTTGAACATTTTCTAAGTGTAAAAAAAAGTTGCTCCAAGACAGATTTCGAATATAAATTAAAAATTGCAGATAAGTTAATAACAGTAATTTAGAATTCAAAATAATTTGATTGAAAATATATTTTATGATTCATGGATCATGAAGGTTTATTTAACTTTTTTTTAAAAACTGCATTCCACTAAAAATATATCTGATTTTTGTAGCAGTCAGACTTTTGGCACGTCAAAATTTCAGCAAAAACCAGTCAACTACCCAAATTTCAGTATAAATGCATCACAGTAAAAAAAGACCGCGCCAAATTTTTTTTTTCAAAAGCTATTGACTGCATTTAAAAAATCAGGAATTTAAAAATCGAAGTTTAACTTCTCGGGATTGCAAAAAAAACGTCCATAAATTGCTTATTCTTTCGGGTCTAATATAACATCTGTTCCTAAAAAATCACGTAAAATGCTCCAAAGCGTTTTTATAGGTTTCTATTTTAATTTTTTAAAGTAAATGCAGCAATTTTCAAGCCAGCAAGAAAATAAAAGTCCAAGGGACCGAGAAGAACGAAGAGAATCAAAAATTTCAATCAATAAATTTCCTCTGCTCCTCACAGCATTAGTTTTTTTTTTCTTTTGTCACGGTGAACTTTCGACCTCTCGCTCATTTACAGCAAAGAAAAAAGCACATTTTCTACGCATTTAGAAAAAAAAGCAAAAATCCAACAGGTTTCGGGAATAACTTTTCCACGGGACAAGTCCAGGTGTCACCCAGGTGATTTGCACCCGCCTTCATCCTCTAAAAAAGGTCAACCAGTCCAACAGAAGCCAAACATTCACAAAAAAATGCAAAAAACGACGGGATGCAGTGTGAACCAAGCCATAAAAAAGCGCTAAAAGATGCCATTAAAAAACGAGGGAAAAAACAACAACCATGCAAAGTAGACACACGGAAAAAAGTCTAATCCAATTCTTCTTCCTTATTTTCCACTCGCATGTGTTTTTCCTTTCAGCAGGGCAACCAACAAAAAAACTTCGGAAAAATTAAAACCAACAGCAGTTGGATTAATTCTGACAAAAAAGTGACTTTACAAAAGAGCCCGAGAAAAAAAAATTGAGGGAGACTAAAAAATCAAATCAGAAACTGATTCCGACATTTTAAAAAGCTCTATGTTCCAAATATTTTTTTCTTCGGGCTCTTTCGCATTCCACTTGAATGCAGAATGAAAAGGAGGATATTTTTCCGAGCAAACCAAAAGATGCACAACAACATCTGTGTCCACCAAAAATAAGGATGGGGGGCAATTAAAACATTACATCAATGCGATGAGTGCCAAAAACAAAAAATTTCTCGCAGCTTTTATAGCGCCAATAAGGAGTCAAGTTTTGTCAAAAAAAGAAGAAGAAAAAATACCGCATTCACCCTACTCGTAAAAACAAAACAAAAAAGTACCTCATTCGCGACTTGACTTTCTACTACTTCAAAGTGCTCAGGATATAAGTTTCAGGCGACATAAAAAAAACAAACAAAAAAAACACAAAACTTCATGTCATGCAAACTTGGTTTGTTTGTTTCGTGTTTCCCCCCCCCCTCCCACGTCGTTTTCTGTTTCATCTCCCCAATGTCAATTAAACTTTCGTTTACGAAGCTCATTATTAAATCATACGATGCCCGTTGTGGTGAAAGTTTTCTTTCTCTCTTTTTTTTTTACAATATCAATTTTTCTGACAAGAGAACAGAACACTTTTGGTTGTATTTTTTTTTCTTTGAGTTGCAGTGCTCCACTATATACGTACGTGACACTTAAGCTCTTTCTCAAAGTGACCTCACTGAAATTGAATTAGGCTTCTTACATTCTAAACCTCACGAACACACCTTGGAAGATAATCACGAATAATTAGAATTCTAATCAAACCTTCAATTCACCCAAATCAGAAGCAATTACAGAGTTATTGAGCAACGCAAAATTAACCAGGACATGCTTGCGATAAATAGTATTTCAAAAAAAAAAAAAGTGAAGAGAGAATAATTTACTCAGCCAGGGTGTGTCTGTGAAGCCCCAAGAGGCGACATCTAGACGTCCAAGGTAAGCCACAGATTTTTCAGAAAATGTACACAAGCCGGAAAAAAAAAGGTGTTGCCAGACAAGCAGCCCCAGCTTTTAGGGAAACAAGGAACCAACGAGTTAGATTACAGTTTAGTTTTTTTTTTTTGCGAGTGTGTGTGTGTGTGTGTGAAGCCATTTGCTTCAACAAGCCCACCAGCGCCATGATGACAAGCACACCGTCACCAAAAAGGGGAGAAAAATTAAAATCCAACATACTGCAATAATTTTTTTTTGGCAGCAAGCTTGGAACTACTTGCCTGGCTTTGCCTTTAAATCGGCATCAGTAAGGAAACTTAGATACTTAAATAGGTACAGTATGTGACATTTGGAAGCATTTGGCTACAGGATCCTCTGGATGATCACCTATTCAATTGACCCACTTGGAAATAAATTCTTATTTATGCTCTAATTTTAATAAGCATGTATGCTGAAATGGACATGAAGAAAATTCCTGAAGCTGTTAGAAGAGGCTAGAATTGATCTTGAATCATTTTAATATCTTAGTCTGAAAGTCAAGATTCCATGAAAAATACATCTATGAGTGATCAGCTGTTCAATTAACCCACTTGGAAATAAATTCTTATTTATGCTATAATTTTAATAAGCATATGCTGAAATGGACATGAAGACAATTTCTGAAGCTGTTGGAAGAGGCTAGAATTGATCTTAAATCATCCAAATATCTTAGTCTTAAAGTCAAGATTCCATGAAAAAGACAACTATGAGTGATCAGCTATTCAATTAACCCACTTGGAAATAAACGCTAATTAATCTACTGATTTTCCCAAGAATATGCTGAAATGGACACCAAGACAATTTCTGAATCTGTCAGAACAATCAAGAATTGATCTTGAATCCTCCTAATATTTTAGACTTAAGATAAAAAATCAAAGATAAATACACCTGTTGATGATCAGCTGTTCAATTATCCCAGTTGGAAATAAATGCTAATTCATGAACAAATTTTCAGAAGAATATGCTGAAATGGACACAAATCAAATGTCTAAAACTGTAAGAATAAGCAAGAATTGATCCTAAATCCTCTTAATATCTCTGTTTAAAGTTCACCAGTAACTAATTTTCTTTTAATTCCAAAGTGAAAGTGTTCAAGAAAACATGACTGGAAAAACTCCAAGGAAGGATGCTGAAATGAACAAGACAATTTTTGAAGCTGTAAGAATAATCAAGGATGGATCTTCAATATTCTAAATATCTAAATCTGAAAATTGAATACACAAAACAGGTAATTTTCAAAGAAACTTTGAAATAACAGCAGTATTCAAGGATTCATACAAAAGATGACCATCCAGAAGCACACATAATTAGCCAAGCGCTTCAACGACAAGAAAATATTTTAGATTTAGAATTTTAGCTTATCTTTCCGTGTTCTAAAATATTTCTAAGCTTTCAATTTCCATAAAATTCCCTGAAGTTCTGACACATTTCTGGATGACAGTTCATTTACTAAAACTTTAAAATTTACCTAAATTACTTTATTGATCTCCAAGATTGTTTTCCAGTAGCTGAAAGCAAAAAAGAAAAGTCTGCAGCAAAAAAAAAAAAGCTCCCGACCATCACTGACAAAAAAAAAAGCTGGTCATCCAAAAATGCATCGAAACACCATGTGCTTCACACAAACAAGTGCAAATCTAAGATAAACTGAGGCACAACTTCGTTCACAGCAGGCAAATCAACATCTCGCCAAATTCTATATAAAAAATGGGGGAAAAGATGAGAAACAAAAAATCGCAAAAGCCTGGTCAGAAGAAAAAAAAAATCTTTCGAGCGGTAAAAAAGAAAATCAGTTTCCCCGCCAAACAAGCGTTCCGCATGTCAAAAATTTTTTTTGCGTTTTTTCAAACAAATATTAGCAACACGGAAAAAAATTGGTCTGCGCAGAACATTTTTTTCTCGTGTGTGTTTTTCGGCGCAAAAAACAAAACCACCGAAGGAGGAAAAAAATAAAACTAAAGCGAATACCAAAAAACTTTCTCTGGCGCAAAAAAAAAAAAAGGCGAACCGCTTCCCGGCAAAAATTTTGTGTCAATCTCGGTTTGTTTTGGTTTCAAATTTTTTGTAGTTGTTGTTGTTTCTAGCAGAGAAAAAAAAATGATGTAAAAAAAGGAAACACAATCCGACAGGCGAAACCACAAACAATATTACGCGTACTTCCAAGCAGCAAGCAAAAAAGGGATTCGTTGAGGGAAGGGGGGAAAAAGGGGGAAAAATTGTGAGCAGGGAAGGAGCACGACAGAAAAATATATCAGGCTCTCGTTTTTCTGTTGTTTTGGCAGCAGCATTTTCAGCACCACACGAAAAAAAATAATGCGTCCCAAATTTGTCACTTATTCCCAATTTCCCCGGAAATGAAATCCGTGTGTTGATTTCGAAAATTTGATTTCGAAGCTCGCGGTTCCTCGTTCAAAACACCAGCCAAGAAAATGGAAAATCGGCGAAAATATGAGAACGATTTTTCCCTCACCAATCTTGAAACATTGCGCATTTTCTGACGTGAGGGAAAAAATTGTCAGAAATATACCAGAACAACTCTTGGAAGCGCGGCTTTTCTTCCCCGAAAAACGATTCAAAATAGTTTTCTTTCCATAAAATATATATTACCGGGATAATCACCAATAGGAAACTTACAATTTTTTTTAAAGTAAACAATTTGACCAGAAGATGTAAAAAAAATCAATTGAAAATACAGTAGATCAAATTCCATAGGAATGCAAAATTATCTCAAGAATGTGCTGTAAGAGTATCATTTCGATAATTTATGGCATAGATTAGTAAATATATTCACTTTTTCCCTCTTAAAAAAAACCCAACACAAATCTTGAACTGACCGTTTCCTGTGATTCGGAATGCCCTCACCGCAAAAAAATATTTTAATGAAAACTTTTGAAAATTTCTGCAAAAAAAAGTTTCACTCCCTATCTCAAAATAATCGTGTCCAAAGAACAGATTTTCACAGCATGAGCTCATATAGATGAAAATAAAAAAAATTAGCTCACATTAAACTTGGGCCAAAATTAAACCTGTACTCATAAATACACATAATTTTATCATTTGGAAAATACTTCAAAAGATTGAAGTTCTCAACTCACACATACATTTAAAAGTTATCGCAAAAACGGGAAAAACTTCATTTTTCATCACTCAAAAAAATTTATTGGTTGAAAATACACTGAAAAAATTAAATATGAAGCTATGACATGACAGCGACATCTATTGACATGTTCTCGCCAAGAAAGAACTATTCTATTTTCATGAATTGAAAGCTATTTTTCACATGAAAAATTTCGATCATTCGTCATAGATGAGCCATGGTTAAAAGAATCTCCAACTTTTAACATCAGAAGACTCGCATTCAGAGCGCATAACATAATTTCAAGAACATTGAAGACCTACTAAAGAAATTTTGAGAACAGAATGGCATTGAAAAAAAAAATTGATTTCAAAGACAATTTTTTTTACCACAGCGGGGAATGACTGCAATGGCCGAAAAATATCACTGACTGAGACACAATTGCCCTTTTCTCGTGGTAAAAATAGATAAACCTATTCCTCGGACACAAAACCGTGCAGGACATAAATTTTCTCACACTTCTCTAACATGATATATACACGGTGTCAAAAAAACATAAATTAAACATAGTTCCTCATCCATTCCCTCACTCCATTACGT